ACGGATCATATTTTGTTTTTATAACTATATATAAACCCTATACGATTTAGTACGGATCATACTTTGTTTTTTAACTATATATAAACAGTATACGATTTATTACGGATCATACTTTGTTTTTTTAACTATATATAAACACTATACGACCCTAAACAAGAAATTTAGTCTTCTCTCCATACTAAAAAATATATTTTTGACAGTAAAGAAAATGTATCCCAAATAAGTCAGTATGCAGTATACACCAAATTCACATTTCTCTAATCATGCTTATCGATATAAAATCTTTACTGTATTGCAGATCTTTATTTCACGATTTATTTTTCATATTTGACAATGTAGCAAAATGAGATAAACTTGTGATTAAGTCAGCAGCAGGGCTAGATGATTTTTGGGACTGGTGGTAATTTTTAAGGACATTCTATCACTCAGAGTCAGACTTTTTGTCATTCAGCTCCGCAACTAACTGAGTTTGTTCATTCGTGCAGCCTGATTCTCCGCGACAAGTACAGAAGATTGCGCATGGCAGTTTTGTCGACATACAACGACATTGTGTTGTCTGACAGGGTTTGTCTGAAGAACAAACACAGTGAACCGTCACAGTCAGGACCACTTTTTGAGGATGCAGCAGTGTTATGACGTCTATTGGCCTGCTGTCTCGTTCTAACCAGCCATGCTCCATCTTTGATGCTGAACTCGTGGTACCGGTCCAAAATTAAGTACACTTCACAAAAATCCACTTTATCAAAGATGTAACTGATGAAATTGTTGACAAAGTTTTGCACTGTACTTCTGTTTATCCAATGTATGACCCAAAGGACTGCACAACCGTCGATGATAGCGACATCTGGAGAGTGGAGAATTCTTGATGAAATTTCTACTTGAAGACACTTCTTCAAGGCAAATTTCGCCTTTGGTATCCTCATATCTTTCTTCTAATCGAACATAGATGTTGGTACTGGTTATCTTTCTTCTAATCGAACATAGATGCTGGTACTGGTTATCTTTCTTCTAATTGAACATAGATGCTGGTACTGGTTATCTTTCTTCTAATCGAACATAGATGCTGGTACTGGTTATCTTTCTTCTAATCGAACATAGATGCTCTGGTACTGGTGACAATTCATACTGTAGAACGTTGCTCATACCTATGCTGCGAGATGGTTGGAGTCCACTAAACCTTGAATAGATCACATTAACGTCACGTAAAGCAACGGATCCAACCCGAAAGTCTTTGTGTGTCATTGCCATCGTTGACACATCTTCAGATGAAGTGGAATTGAATCCACTTGGCCAGCTTTTTTCGTAAGGATGTATTTGTGAGTTTCCAAGCTCAACTTAGTGATGTGCGTTCACGGGTTGAGTTTTTCCTATCAAACATATCTGGCCACAAACAAATGCAGTGTTGTTTGAAATCAAAAGTTTTTGTCTCTGAGCGGCGGAATTGCTTGTAAGATGATATTATTGTAGATTTACTTGAATCATAATGCAAACGTTTTATGTTCCTTTGTATATTCAAACGAGACACGTAAGAAGATGCACAATCTTTGTGATATTTGATTTGATTATCTGCCCTAACATGGAGTTTTGTTTCGAGGTTTACATGAATCTTGTCTTTTATCTCTTTACTTACATTGATAATAGTTTTCACACTGTCCAGTCCAGCTGTGAGCAATGGCTTCCCAGCTTTTCCTTCGCCATACGGGGCGAAAAAACTTTTTCCCATGATACCCGTTACACACGACCTGGACAAATATTATTATTATTATTTGTAGTAGTAGTAATTCTTATCTTTTTATATTATTTTTATTATTACCTGATATGATCTAGATATTCGTTTCCATATTATGTAAATATAGACAAATATGGCAGAACTTGAATAGCACGTGATACTTTCATTCCTCACGTGCATGCATGTACTGAGACTATTGTAAATCTGCATTTTTACGTGGTCATCATCATATTATTATTATTAACAGTAGTAGTAGTAGTAGTAGCAGTGTACTGTAAATTGGTATTATATATATATGTTTCATAAAAATTAAAATTCAATTCCTATATTCAAATTTGTTTTTCGAAGCACATTTTCCAATATCATCAACTGTTGTAGTGAAACATCAAGAAAAATATTCATTATATAATGTTCTGCGTCGGTTAATTATGATACCTGACCCTGAAAACATAGGTTTAGACAACTAATTTGAATAATTTTGATTTCCGAGACACGTAGAATAAAAGGAAATATCGGTAATGACGTCAGCTTATTTGCATATTTAGGCGATTTAAAAAAATGCTCAAGGGTGCCACAGTGGCATACAGCAGAATATTAATACACATGGCACGCAAATACTAAAAATGTTAAAACATTTTGTGCAAACACCAAAACATATTCAATGCTCAAAACTGAGTTTGACATCTGGACTATTAACCAAAACGCTGCACAATCAAAATAGTCACCAGAGCACCCAGGCTGTAGTGTGGGATATAAGATGTGTCTTGGTTATTGGAGACGACTAAGGAAGTAGGGCCCACATAGCTGTAGGGATACACTGTCTATCAGTCTTAACTTCCGTTCGCAAAACCCTACATTTAAAGAAAAAATAATAAACGAGTAAATTGAAAAAAAAAAAACAATTCAAACATAAGATAGCAAGATGTGGGTGGTCAAGAACTTCCCTAATCTATATCACCGTTAAACTGTTGTGGGAAGAAGAAAAGAAGTGAAATGAAAAATATATGAGAAAGAAAAGGTCCTAAAGGTGAGTAAAAAAAAAAACAACCTTTCTTCCTGAAGGTAGGACCTGTTGTGTACTATAAACTATAATTTTGCCGGTAGAAGTAGTCTTAAAGCTTCCACACGTACAAGAGTAAACAGTCCATGAATGAAGTCGTGTTATAATGCTGTCTTTAAAATGACTAAAAGTTTTTAATTTGTCAGGAAAGTTTGTTTGTTTTTAATTATGCACAAAGCTACACAAGGGTTATCTGTGCTCTGCCCACCACGGGTATCGAAACCCGGATTCTAACGTTGTACGTCCGCAGACATACTGCTGTGCTACTGGGGGACAAAAGTTAGTTTACACATAGTCGTTGAGAGCAGGACCTAAGGCTAAGAAAATACTTTTAGTAACAGGGGGATCCTTAGTCAGTTATTATTCTCAGATGTGTTTTTGTAATGAATGTTATCAACTATTTATGAAATAAACTAAAAGATAGAGAAAATTATCCTTCTGTGGTTCTGACCATTTTTATGTTACAAGCGTGTGGGCAAGGTTTCTGGTAGTCATAGTTAAATGTTAAAAAATAAATAATACAGCGTTCGCCTTGTCTAAGGCACATGACAGAAGTGCTAGCAACTAATGAAACTGCTAGAAGTTAATTTAAAGGCCCATGAAAGAACTGCTTGACAATAATGGAACTGCTAGAAGTTACTAAACTAATACGCTATACCATAAATTAATTTATTGGGAATCTCACGCTCTTGTACTGTTTGTTATTGGTAAAAATATCATCTTATAACATAATATAACTGTTTTCTTTTTTTTTAAAGCAGAAATTCTGTTGGCTTGCCTTATCTTTTACCATCTTGGCCTCATTGCACATCCTATTAATTTTGGTAACTTTAGGCCTTATGTTCTACGATCTTAATCGCATTGTTGATTCTATCATTGTGTCCCTAGGTGCTTAACTTTAAGTCCGAGGGCTAATAATGCTCCTGTAGTATTTACTTCTTATGCCCCTTTTTCTTCGACATTTACATTACAGAATGCATTATTTCGAGTTCTATCGTTGTAAATCCTTTTTTACTTCTTTTAAAAATGCACAAAACCATCTTCAGTCATTATGCATTAGTTATTTTTTATCAGAATAAAATATTTTATAAAAGTATCATGAGTGTCTTGACCGATTCTTTTTAGGAACATTTTATTAACTTCACCGATCTATATATATATACGCACAAATAATAGATCTACAAGTTTAATTACATGCTGTTTCTAAATAATCAATGTTATGTTATTTTTATAACAAACAAATACTGCATTATTCCTGCTCAAAAACAAGCAGCTGCATCTCCTTTTTTTTAGCTTTGTTTAGTGGGTTTTAACTGGAAATCAGAATATTTTCTGATGTTCATTCAGCAAGTTATCTGATTCTTAACTTGTTAAATGTACACAGAAATTATTTATTCTCGAAAGAAATCGAACGCAGTATGTTGTCAATCACAGTTTATAAACATATATATATATATATACTATATTGCAACAGTTTCAAAAGTTAAATGTCATCAAGCCTAAGTTGCGAAATCTGCCGATTCATGTTTCTATATTAAAGTTATAAATTCTCATGTGTTATAAAAGTATCTTCAGAATTTTATGAAAGTAAAGAACTAGTTAGGTCACTACTTTCTTTTCAAAATAGTTTTTATTTTATACACACAAAAAACTAATATTCATAACTAATGTTATCCACTGCAGAATTTGTGAATAATTTGAGTAATGTTATAGTTTAAAAATAAACACATTGGTTCTTGCTAAACGATAAAGGTCAACAACTCAGAATTATAATATCACTTGGGTTTCTAATTATACTGAAATATCAAAATATCACTGAAGGACTGTTAGAGCTTGTTTGAGTTCAAGAGTATTTATGACATTTAAAAATGTCAATAACTCGAAAAAACGATAGTAACATTAAAAAGTTCGTGAAAGGTTACGAAATTATGAATTCAAAAAAGTTTAGATATTGAGATTTAGATAACAGAGTGGAGTTTCTTGTCTTTAATAAATAAATAAATAAAACAGCATATTTAATGAATAAGTGTATGCAAAAAATGTTTTCCTGAACTGCTATAAGAATTTAAAAATCATATCAGACACAACACGATTTTTATCCTAAAACCGAGAAGCTTACACTAATAATTATGGTGTAAATTTGAAATAGTTCTAAACTTTATAAAATTGGTTTTTCTTATTTAATTTGAAAAAATATATATAATTCCGAGATTATTTATGAATAAAGTTTTATTCAAATATGTGTTTTTCAACATGTATCTTGACATGCATACAAAAGCAATGCTTCATTACAAAAAGAGTTTTTTGCACTTAGTTATGTTTAAGTAAAATACAATATAATAAGGTTCAGTTTAGTTAGTATTATAAGAGTTTAGTAGCCTTCATTCCTGATAAGTAAATATCATAATTTTCAGAAAAAGTTTAAAAGTTCCAATTATATGAAAATACGTAGTTACTAAGATATTAAACACTTTAAAAAATACACAGTAAAAGGATTACTTAGTCGGGATTTGATATCATCCATATTGTTTCATCGTCAGGATCTTGTGAAGGAACTGAAATGTGAAACAAAAAATCCATTTTATTTCGTATTCCTTAACATAATAATAATAATATGCATCTTTACTATTACAAACTGCGTAGATATCTATTTTAAAAAGTTTTTGCAAATTACTACGGTGATCTAATCCTAATGGATGACAAATAGAACATGAAAATGTCTATTTTATCCACTATGTGGCGCTGCAGTATAATATTTTTACACCTAGCAAAATCTTAGAGATGATCGATAACTGTATTGAAAAGGATTGTTTAATACTAATAAAATTTTATATCAAATGATCAGAGTGCAAAACCTAGTACGTTCACGTATCTCTGAAAAACAAAAAATCACTTAACTAAAGGGAAAGCTTGTTTTAAACAAGGAGGAAGTACTAACTCTAAATGATCAAAGACTTTAAGTCTACAATGCAAATTGATATCTTATTTTTAAAATAAAGTAGCCATCGTTTTTCTTTTATTACTTTAGTTACTTTAACAAAATATACAAAACAGTTAGACAATTTACTAATACCTAAATTCTGTAATAAAGACGTTTAATGTAATTGTATTTTTGTCTTCATTAACGAGCAAGTTCGTTTCAATACTATGATTAAGAAACCGTGAATCAACATGCTCTGTGCATTGATACAGACGAACAGCACTGCTCTTTAGATATTTTGAGCTTACGTAAACGAAACATGAAACTGAGAAATTCATATTATGACCACATCAGTTTGATAGATTAAAAACAAAGATATAACGAATTAAAAAATCTTAAGAAATTGTGTTCTATAACATCATGTTATCAGTACACAAAATTTAAAACCACTCCGAAATGTTAATTTTCGTCTGCTAGATGGCGACATATATTGAACCGTAGGTCGAAAGTGTTGGTTGTTTTCCTTAGTGCAAGGCTGCAGATTGGGCTATCTGCATTCTATCCATCGCAAGGAATCGAGCCTTGGATTTTAGCGTTCTAAATCCATTTGAAATAGTATGAAACACAAGTATAAAAATTTATCATAATTGTTCAGTTGTAACATGATATTTATAAAAAAACAAAAAACTTATTTTTGGGCTATGAAAAAATAATCAAATAAAGTTCACTGAAAATTGGAGATATCAAGTTTTACACTAGACTATTATCAAAATTGAGAAAAATATTTGTGCCTAATTTATTGCGTTAGTATTCTAGTAACATTAATATAAGTTACATTATAACAACATAAATATACGTAAATGTATTTTGTCGTGTGGCGAACGAAAGATAGCGCTCAAGTGCTTTGACTTACCGAAAAAGATTAAAGCATCTTCCATGTGCCTCAGTTCACCTTCAAGCAACTTAGAATGCATCCTTCAACTGAACTGAAACGGTTTCTGTTTCCACCACAACCGGTATAAATGAATCCGTGACATTTGCTTGTTTGTTCATAAAAGAAATAAGAAAACTTAAACATTGTACAATTAGTGCCTCGGTCAGGCGGTAGGAGACAGTGGTCCGCAAGTCCGACATCTAGTGGGGAATGAAAATAATAGCTGTATAACTGTAAAGTTTATCATAGAAGTGTAATTACGAACTCTTCTATTCACAGTTTGATAGACATAACAAACAAAACCCAGGTTTTGTGCTCTTATAATATTTGAAAATATCATTCATGTATGAATTGTACTTTCATAAGCTTTGTTTGTTTTTGAATTTCACGCAAAGCTACACGAGGGCTATCTGCGCTAGCCGTCCCTAATTTAGAAGTGTAAGACTAGGTGAATGCAGCTAGCCATCACCACCCACCGCCAACTCTTGGGCTACTCTTTTACCAGCGAATAGTGGGATTGACCGTCACATTATAACGCCCCTACGGTTGAAAGGGCGAGCATGTTTGGTGTGATATGGATTCGAACCCGCGACCCTCAGATTGCGAGTCGAGTGCCTTAACCACCTGGCCATGCCGGGCCGCTTTCATAAGCTTCTCGCGTATGAAAATCTCTATCTCTTCCCACAATCTTTATCTCTTCCCAAAAAGGTTTGTCTAAAACTGGTATAGAAATGCTCATGCAAAGTTTTTAAAGATTAAGCACAAAGAATGAACTTGATTAATTCATATTCAAATCTGTCAGACATTTTTCTAAAGCTATTATAAATGTGCCCTGAAGTATTCTTCACACTAAATTATCGGTAGTATTTGTTTGTTTTTAGAGCAAAGCCACATTGGGCTACCTGCTGTGTCCATGGTGGGGAATCGAACCCCGGATTCAATTTTTGTAAGTCCGTAAACTTACCACTGTCCCACCGTGGAGGGGTCCTAAATTATCGGAGAATAAATTTAATTCTCAAATAAATATTATTAAAAACTTATTAGTTGTTCAGACTTAGTTTTAATGTAATGTTTTCTTCGCAAACTCTGAACATCGGCTTAGTTATCGTGGTTACTGTACGTTATTTCCTCATTCATATGTATAATGTAAAAAGACATATCGCTGGTAAACCATGATTTGCGACTCTTTGATTACATCTAAAGAATTCAACAAATACAAATATGTTTATGTTGATCTATTATCACAAAATGTAGGTTTAAATTACTGGCATTAGGGAAGTATGATTCAGTGAGCCCTGGGTGTTAACACGGACGGCATTCCTTTAAACTAACGAAATGCATACTTTTGTGTGTTAATAAATTATAAATATCTTAATGTTTACAATATAATGCTTTTCAATTATTGCTGTAGTGTGAATTTTCGTCCGAACTTACAGCTTCTGTCGTCAACGTTATTTTACATTATTTACTTCATTCCAAATTTCCTATCAGCATGTAATTTCCGTATTATGAGGAATGCAGATGGACTGTCGACAGGATGCTTATTTGTTTTATTTAAGGTAAAGCCACATTATGCCATCTACTGTGCCCATCGTGGGGAATCAAGCGCCGAATGTTAGAGTTGTAAGTCCGTAAACTTGTCGCTGTCCCAGTGGGGTACTCAGAGATGCTACTAAGAAAAAATAACCGCTTCACAAATGTGATATACTGATGAAATTTATATAATGTAACATAAGTTAAAGGATTCAGTAAACTTACACTATGATATACATTCTGTAATCTTGCAGTCAAATAATTCTTTAGTCTACAAGCCTGACAATTTTTCTAAATTCAGTTGTTATTTTTTACAGCACAAAATGTTATCAGCCAGGAAACTTCTAACTTGTAGCTTAAATAAGTATATAAAAAATACAATTCGAATGAATTATTCGAAACCAAAAACTTGTTGAGGATTTTTATTTTGTTTTTGGTTATGTTTAAACACAAAGCTACACAATGAGCTATTTGCGCTTTGCCCATCACAGGTATCGAAACCCGGTTTTTAACTCGCAATCTGAGGGTCGCGGGTTCGAATCCCAGTCCCACCAAACATGCTCGCCCTTTCAGCCGTGGGGACGTTATAATGTGACGATCAATCCCACTATTCGTTGGTAAAAGAGTAGCCCAAGAGTTGGTGGTGGTTGACTAGCTGCTTTCCCTCTAGCCTTACACTGCTAAATTAGGGGACGTCTAGCGCAGATAGCCCTCGTGTAGCTTTGCGCGAAACTCAAAATAAACAAACTATTTAATGTCTTTAAGGCAAGTTGAATGACATTCTTTTCAAAAATGTATAAACATAACAATTCAACTGCAATATAAGCAAATAAAATTATCCATAATTACTAATACTATTTTTTAATGTTATTTAGGAAACAGAAGCACTCTAACGATGCCACTTTGTATCAAAAAAAGGTGATTCAGAATCTGTAAACATTATGTTAATATTACCATAATCGTTACTTACACAGTTATATATACGTTTATTGATACGGATATCTAATCAACAATAATAAGAATAACGAATTATGACGGAAATTTTTCAAAGAGCAAATAACTCCAGTAAAATGCCGATTAATTTTAGTTCATTTTAAACGCCACATTTCTTAAAAATAGACGGCATGTTGCAGCAATTAATTTAATCAAAATAAAGAAACTTCATCTCAGAAGAGATCTATCTGAGTAGAAAATGTGTTTTACATTTTTCTCTTTGTACACTAGTACAACGCGAGAAACTCGCATGTACAGAAAATATATTTTAAAATATAACTTACAAATCAGATAAGTGTTTGCCGAGCCACTAACGTTTGACCATATCAATTTTTGTGCTTTTAACCTAGAAATTTGCACTTTTGCAGAGTTTGAACCCACTCTCTACTAATAGTTACCGAGTATATTGAATTCCACTACCTTCGAATGCAGTAGAAGTTGGAGAATTTGGATTTTTGTTGTGCAATACATTTTATAGCCAGTCTCCTGTTATTTTGTGTTTTTTTATCTGATTACTCAACAGGAATTCAGGGAACCTGAGAATACCATACAGTAGGTTGGGAGGAGAAATTTTGATACCATAACCACAAGATTTGTTTTTGAAAAGTGTGTGTGTGTGTTTTTTTTCTCCTAACAAATGTATTTCCCTGTGTACTTCCGAACACTTGCATTATGGACTGAAGCTTCATACTTGAGGAAATGACATTTCAGTGAGTCAACTAATTCATAACAGGAAAAGAAGGAAGAACTAAGGACTATGGATAGATGGCTGTCGGGAAGAGTTGTTTTTCGATATTGGATTTTTACTGATGTTACGAATAACTATGATATATATCTTGCTGCAGATATCGAGTCCGTGAATGGATGAGATGGACTACACAGAATTACCAGGCATTTTTGATCAGAGTAGTTCAATCCCGACTCCAGTTCATATCACCCGTGACTGGTTGTGAGATACATCCACCAGCAGGTGAGACAGTGAGTATGGCCTAGTGAAGGTCTTGATTCACAGGGTAATGGTGAGCCTCTCCAGATGGGAGTAAACTACCAGGGTGACCACTGGTAATAGAGAAGTCTGGACTGGTGCAGAGTTGATGAATAAGTTACCTCCAATAACTCGCCATTCTGTAACACAAGAGCAGGGATTTAATCCCTGCATGAGCCATCTACACCTCCAACATTTTAGGAAATCGTTACCCGATGTTGTCCAAGAGCCCATGGATAAAAGATTTATGCTGAATCTACAGGAAGCTTTGATAGAGACAAAACATATTGCACTCCCAACATCTAAGGGACCTGGATCGTTTCTTGAAGCATTTTAGGTAGATCATTGGAATTACTGGACTTATAAATAAGCAATGCAATGCCTATCCCTAAATTTGGATGGTCTAGCCCTTGTCATTATTGAGCATCTGAGCATTGTACAGCTATGAGACTGGAAAACAGTTGAAGCCGGATTGTACTGACATTTTAGCTTGGTGCAGAACCAAGCCGTCCATTGAGTCAAGATCAAGGCTCAAAAGAAAGATCTCTCTGAGAATGTTGCCACTTATACAGACACCCTAGTTGCATTTGAAAGCATACCTGCAATAGATTTGCCAGATCACGAGGTTATCAGTTTATCTTTGTAGACAAGCTTATAAATGGGCTACCTAGTGAGATGATGAGGCATTACTTTTGTGTAACAGATGTTCTCACATTAACAGAGGAAGTTCTATGACAATAATATTCAAAGTCATGACTTCAACAGATCACAAGGGTAGAAAAATCATGCAGCTGCAGTGGTTGTGCCTCAAAAAGACTAACCTACTCAAGTGACTATCTAACACCAATCTCAAGCTTTGCAGAGAGCACATCAGCAACCAGTACATCCCAATGCTATGATACAATGATGCCTGGCATTGCCTAATGATTTTATTGATACCTTTCCTCTACCATGCACTGAATTTCCTGACCCTGGACACATTTGGAGCTTCAAGTCTGCCATAGCAAGTTTAAGCCATATAGTAATAGATTCCACTAGTGACAGGATTCCACAATTTATACTCCAGAAGCTCTTGGAAGAACAACTAAAGGACCTAGAACTAACGTAGGCACTTCTTGCCACGAACGAAGATGAAGTTCAGACAGTGCAGATTCAGGAATGTAGTAAGGATGCAAATGACCTGTGGAACTTTCATTAGCAGCTATGAGTTGGGGAAAACATATTGTATCGTTGGTATAGCCACCAAGATGTGGTTCTCAGCCTCTGTTGCTGCTAGTAGTCTCCACAGTTCTGAGACAGAAAAATTCTTCAGACTTTGCATAATGCATGGACTGATGACCACCAAGGAGTTACACAAACTGATTCTAATGTGTGATGGCGGTTTTAATGCTGCATTTAAGTTGACACATTAAACAATGGTGTCAACACTATATGGTGTGCACTCTCCAGCCTAGCCTAGATATGGTAAACTCCAGCAGAGAATTTAGCTCTCCCAGACATTGAATGAGCTAATTGGTATGTGCTGGTCGTTATGAGGCTTATCCATTTGTTGATGTTTCAGCATAGTCCATCACTGATGTGTTTATGGAATATTAGATAGCCTTATTTAGTGTACCTGAAGAGATTCACGTGGATCAGGGAGATAATTTAACTAGCTAGCTCTTCTCTGACTTGTGCAAAGTGTTGGGTGTGATGAAGACACATATTTTGCCATGTCATTCACAGTATGATGGTTTGAAAGAATGGGTAATATAAACTATGAGGCTTGGGAAATTTGTTAATCCTGCCACATCAGGATTTGGTGGGTCTGGGTATGGAGTTTTTGCGTCATGATTTGCTCAGGTCCACCTGTTACTATGCCACAGGCTTGAGTTATTGTGAAAATGTATAGAGTTCAAGGTACAAAACTGACGTCCACCTTTAATAGTGAGAGAGTGCTGTCTTTGAAAAAACAACTGGTAAAGTCATTCAATTATGCAACATATTCTTTTAAGTTTTTGATGCTATTTTATGAGGCTATACATAGTTTTGTTTTTATCAAATAACCGTTTCAATAAAACCAACAAGGTTTTGAAAATCTGAGTGTATATTATGAGAATGATATGTTCTGCGAAACTTAAGCGAACCAGGTAACTATATATATTGCACATAAACAATTACCTCAAATCGGACTTTGTTTTTGAAGGATTCTTTTGGAATAATTCTCAAGAGAACTCTTGCGCATTCGCACGCTAGGTGACCTCAGACCCGATGATTGTTTATGTAAATATAGGTATGTGTAATTTTTACAAAAACGTTGATAATACTTACTTTTTATGTTAAGAGTTTTCTTAACAAATTTCTACGTATTTCCATCTTTCCGTTTCTGTTAATACTATGTCCTTTTTTGTTCACATTTATTATTTCAAGTCTTGTTTCTTTGTAGTTCAGTGCAAAGTTACACATTAAGCTATCCGATTTCTAGCATAATAAGCTCTCAGACGTACAGCTGAGCCACTGGGAGGTATTATTTAAAAAGAAGGCGATTTTGCAAAGCGAATTAATTTCTGTTCATACGAAACTCATCGGTAACGTAAGAAGCTAATCTCATCAACAATGCAAAATACATATCATAACTTGTTTTTAATGTATTAATTTAGACTAGCCTCGACCCACAAAACATTTGCTGTAGTTTTTATACGCTTGATTTTTCCGTATTCTCTCATTTTCACGCACGCCATTTAAGCTACGCTTTTTTGCAGCCATTGTGTTAGATCGATAAATCCTGGTCTACTTGAAAAAAATTTACGCAGTTAGACAAACAAACTCACGTACACGTAACTTTATTTAATAAAACTACACGTAAATTAAACAATAAAGTATAGTGATGGTATTTATTCTAGTATGCAGAGTATGAAACAGTTATGAGTGTTCAGTGTATGATAGGTTTTACAAGTTGAAATCCCGTACTAAAGAAAAAAAGTAGCTAAAAGGTGTTTATAGGAGTCTAGGAAACGAATTGTAGCTAAATTATTGCAAAATAAAGCAAATGTAAAGTTGTAATGAAGCTGAATATGCAAGAACGTCTGAATGCATGTTACAAAGTAATAAGCATATGGTTTTGAACGAACTGCGCATACGTATTTTAAATCTAAATAAGTCTAAAATGCCTATAGCTGTTGTATTTAATGTAATATTCGTTTTTTAAGGAAATTACACGTAGGTTAAGTGTTGTTTGTGTGAAATAATTTGCAAATAAAAACTAAAGTTAAAATCGAAGCCAGTCGTCACATGATGACAATGACACTATGCCATCGTGTATACCATACTCGTTGCATTAACAAGTTTGAATCAGCAAAAAATAGGTGAGGTTATTCCGAATTGAAGAGCCAATATGCAATCCGGACTCCTCGGACAAAGATTTTTCTAACTATATGAGCTTTGTAGCCTTTCATCGAGAAATGTTTTAAAAAAGTTATCCCTAATGTACAATCCTAGAAAAGAAAAACACCCTACCCGTTATCCCCTTATTCATCTGAAGAGCTATGAAATACGGATAACAAAATAATGGAATATCAAATTATTCTATTCTTTCCCCTCCTTTATTAATTTTTAAACTAGTAGGAATTGCGAAACTTTCATTAAAACATAACAGGATAGACAAAAAAAAATTATCAATAAAATTATATCCTGAAGAGTGCCGTTTGAGGTTACGAAACCGGTTGAAGAAATTAATAAAGAAGAGGAAAAAAAGAATATTCCAGTGTTTTCTTATATATATACCGATTTAGTATACATAACTTGTTGGCTACTTAACTAAGACTAGAGTGCGTTATATATATATAAACATATCCACATCAATTCTATTGTCATTTTTAATTACATAACAATTTAGGTTTATATTTTGACTGTAGAAAAATGTGATTCAATGTGTTTTCTACATTAAAACGAATGACACAGCCCCTTTAAACAACCTCTATGGGCGTACAATGCTAAAAACCGGGTTTCAATATTCGTGGTGGGCAGAGCACAAATAGCCCATTGTGTAGCTTTGTGCTTAACTGCAAAAAAGCAAACAAACTCTAAACAACCTCACCACACTATTATTACAATAATCATATAAATCAGTTCGGCAAAAACTCCAAGACTTATCAAAATATTATATTCCATTAGTCGTCCATCTGCGTGTATTGAGGTCTTGCTTATTGGACATTAAATACTTACGTACGTGCGAAATGAAAAATTACAATTTGTCTTCTGATATCGTGTTATCTGATGTTATGAACCATCTCTGCGATGTGCTTAAAGAAAGATATAACGAGACGCAGGATAGATGTAGAGTTTCATGTCCGTATCTATTGCCAAAGGCGATGCTTACGTCATTGACAGCAGATAAAGCTATACCGAATCTTGTACTGATATGGATTGCTATTGACTGCTAGAATGGAATGTTTCACGGTCAAGATGGCGGTGTTGAACGAAACAGAACGTTTTGTGACGTTACATACAATACCTCTATAAAGAAATAGCGCATCACTCTTCGATTTGCATCGCAAAGGCAAAGTGCTACAAATACAAAATCTGATGTTTTCTAATAGATCTAGAATGTTCCACTAGGGTCAACTTTCTCCATATATTGCTGTTTTGAACGCGCTTAAAACTTTACATTGTTCCTTTTACTATCTTCTATTTTTAATCTTACTTCCATTGATGTTGTTGGTTAGAATGTTTAATAAGTATATTTTATATGGTTTTTTCGTTTATAATTATTTTATATCCAACCTATATAAATGCCTGTGTGTGTCACGTCACGCTTGATTTCTCGAAACAGGAAGAGTCATAAAAGCCAGAATGCATTTATCCAGCTTTTGAAGCTTTGTACTGTCAGTTTTGGTTCGTGTTTTAGTGAACGCTTCTGAAGAAGCTGTAAAGCGAAACGTTGTGTCTAATTAAATATTAACAACATTTTGGTGTTATAAGGTCGTTTATTTTTAGTATTGTTATGTCTTCTATACACCAATGTGCACTACAGAAGTTAAATAATATATTAGAAGTTGTTAATCTGATTTTTACCAATAATTATCCTATGAAGACGCCACGAGTTTATTTCATGAATGATTTTAATTTTGATAGGCTCACAAAGGAATTCACCGATATTTGACTGCCCCGAATGTGCTTTTTTGCCTCTTTGTTGGTCAAGCTTGATTTCCCAAAATTTATTTATTTCAAGCTATGAAATGTGACGTTAGTGTATACTATGAGGTGGGGGTGGTAGTACCTACCTCGTCATTTTTGACGGGCTATACGCTAGTTTTATTAAAAGGATTACTTTGCATTGTTAAATTGTGTGGATTTAGAACTAACCTAAATTTCCTAAAATTCCTGCACCTCGTGAGATAGCAAATATCGCTGGTAACGAGGGTATTCAATTGTTGAGCAATGCATTATGATCTTAAAAAGTAAGAATACATACTTATTATATTAAATTAATTATGTTCTTTATGAGGTTAATGTTTAGTTTCGATCTATATAGGTAGTTTGCTCTTATTAGAATTAATATTACTTTGGTTGTCGTTTATAAATTTAGTTTATTTTTTGGATTGAAAGCCAAAAAGTGCACTGAAAACTAGACTGGTAAAAACCATTGAGATGGAATCCATAATCACTTGTAGTATTGACTTCATAACAAGAAACCCAATAATAATATTACTGAGAGTTTGCTGCTTTTCATCTTGTGATTCGATTGGAAGTTGCTATTTCTTTGTTACTATTTTTGTACTTGTCTTAATGGCAAAGCTAATACGACTATCTGAATACAGCGAAAGCAGCCAGTCAGCAACACCCTACGAAACCGCACCCTGTTTTGTTGTTCAGACCATATAGAGAAATACCTTACTCAGTCATTAAAGCATGATAATAACTTTTAAAACTTATAAAATAATATCATTATTTATGTTTCACGTCCTTTTGCGTTTATAATTGTTTCTAGCCGATTTGGAATAGCAAAAAAAATCTATACCATCCTGAACACTAAATCAAAATCAAACATACGAATAAAAACAATATTTAGTAACCAGTGTCGTACTCGACAGCGGAAACTTCTGAAAACTAAGCTGTTTTCTTCTTCCTTTTCCGCCTGTGTTTTCCGCTGACGTACACGTAATGGTGTTGGGTAAGTAAGTACATTTTCAGATTTTGCTACGTGACATAGTAACTTCAAGCTTAACCTTGCGTCCTTTTCACTGTCACAGTTTAGTTTTATATAACATACGAGAAGTATGAAACCATACTTTAATCTTTATGGGTTAGATGTTGTTTAAGAAGAAACTGTATATTGTAAGGTGAAATGTTAAGCAGTACTTTTATTGCTGTGTTACACTATACATTGGTTGCATTTATCATATTTACTCTCAAAATTTTGTTTTTTTCTATACATTATTAAGTCATGTTTAAATTGAATTGACACTGATATCAATACAATTTTTCTTCTGCAATAATTAACTGTAGAAATTTGCCATTATTACTAAGTTACCAACAAAGACGAAACAAACCTATAGTTAGGCCTCACCTTGTTTACTCAAGACGATGAACGGTAAAATTAGCAACACTGCTACAGTAAGCCACTTTACAGACTCCATAACTGGTTGATAAATCAAAATACTTGCTTTCACCCTACAGTTTGATGTAACTTACTGTTGTGTATTACAACTATTCTGCACTTAGAAAATCTTTTAAAACCTATTTATAAATCACAATCACGAGGCCTGGGTCAAAATCTACACTGATCAAATGAGGAAGTAACAAAGACGACCAACTATATCATTCCAGGAAACCTTGCCTCCAGTGATAAACGTAGACAATAGTTACTTATTTCATAGGGGATGTGCCCAAGGATACATGATCATACTGTACCTAAAATAAACGTTTTCTTTCTGTTAGGTTTATATTTTTGATACATTTCTGACGCTTCCGCTCTGAAATGCAGTGCAGTTAAAAATATATATATATATATATATGGTTTGATCTTTTCTTGGCACGTATGAATTTTAACACCATTGAAAATGTGCATAATATGTAAGGGTTATAAATATTATTGGGAAAGTAATTGTGCTACAAAAAATCTGTGGGCTTTTTTTATACGTCACGTACCACGTTTTGGTTACTTTGACACCTAGTGAAATGTCATTACGAGCTCCAAGTAAAGAGTTTGTTTGCTCTACCAACCGCGGGTATCAAAACTCGATGTATGACGTTGTAAGCCCTCAGACTTACCATTCAGCCAACCAAATAATGAGAATTTGTACGGTAATATTATACGAAACAACTTACAGCTTTGGATTGTAATGATAATTATCATTATAAAAACATAAACAATAATAATCACTCGCTGAAGGAAAGTAGATTATTTTCAATTTTATTTTTTTATTTTCACAATATTATAATGTTAAACAAGTCCATATTCTTTTCCATTGATCGATGTTTAGAAAAATAGAAAAATACCATATACTGAATAAACATTCAAACTACCAAGTTCTTTTTCTAAAAATCACTTAGAAATATCCAAAAATACTGACAACATTCACTTATAGTATAGCATATATTATATTAATCTTGGTTAAGCTCCAATTGTGTTACGTATGTAGGTATTTAGTTTCGATCAGATGTTAATATTGATTATCAAATATTATGTTTTCATAGTTGGAGACGTTATCACGATGCAATATTAATTAAGTCCATACCATGTCTAACTTAAAAGAAAAGAAAGATTAAAGTAATATTTATGTTAGTTGATTAGTGTTATACTTTTAAATGTTAAAACAGAAAGAGCGTTTTTCATAACAGTACATACAAGTGTTCTCAAGTAAGTGTGTCAGTTTGTTACGAATGAGGAAATCGAATAACCAATACCTATAAAGTTTGCGATTAACATACTGTTACGTCTCCGTTTGTTAATTAGTTTTCCGTAACTTCGTTCCGACGAAACTTTAGCAACACAAGTCCTTTCTTAATAAAACTGGCTTATTCTTTCCGAATATAACTTTACAATACACACTTAATTTCAACAATCGCGCTAAAACAAACGTTAACTTCAACAATACTCTCTGACTGCAGATCAATTACTCACTGTCTACACACATATTGTCACGTCACGCCGTGACCATATTTATATATATACCAGGCTACCCTATATCTAG